GCATCCCGCCTGGTGCACGGCCCGGGGGCGCATCCCGTCTGGTGCACGGCCCCCGGAGGGGACACATGGGCCTGGCAGCGCCCACTACAGACCCATGGCACATGTGGCCAGTGCAGGGTGGCATCAGAATCACAACTGGGATTTGGGGACCATCCCAAAATGCTAGAGGGACTGGAAGAAATTATGTTTTCTTCTTGTCCCAGCAGTGCCCAGGTTTGTGATTTCACTTTGTTTTGGTCAGGAGCGCTCTCCTCAGCATGTCTCCATCCCTTATTGCTTCCTTTGCCATGGAAGCAACTGGGACATGCTGGAGCAAAGCCGAAGTCATAGAGGGGATGGAGGAACTCTTGAATGCAGAATGCCACTAAACACCAAGGGAACAGTCCCATCCTGAGAGACAGGATATGCAGCAGATGGGACAAGGAAACTACAACCCCTTTTGGAACCACTTCTAAAGCCCTCCAAAGCCAGGGTATCCTAGCTTTGGACACTGGGGCATCCCTGCACCACAGAGGGGAGGTGAGAAAGGAGGCAAAGATGTGGCTGCAAACGGGAGTTGCTGCAGCACCTCCTGGGAAACATCACTCCCCTGAGACCATACTTGCTGCTTCTCTGGGACCACGCACAGCAGGGATGCAGTGCCTTTCTGCGTGTCAGGGCAGTGGATGCCAAGCTGTGGTGCTGGGGTGAATCACCACAGTGAGCCCAGCGTGGTGCTCTGTACCCTGCTGTGTCCCCACAGGACCTGCCTGAGCATCCTGCCCCTTGCAGTCCCACTCATCCAGGCTGCTCAGGAGATGTGTGTCCCAGCTTGGCGCAGGCAGCAGCCTGGGGAGCCAGCGCGGGGCCAAGGGGTGGCTGCACCCAAGGACCCTGTGCTAATGGATTTGGAGTTTCCAAGGTCAGGCTCCCACTGTGAGCAAGAAAAACATTCCCAGGGAAGGGCCATGGGAAAGGGCCCCCCCTTGCAGCACTCCCAGCCCAGCTGCTGCCTCACAGCCCAGCCTGGCATCCCAGGCTGTTCACACGAGGACATGGCTGCATGGCCCCTGAGGAGATGTGCTGTACAAAGGCTGGGTTGCCCAAGCTGCCCAATCTCTTGGAAGAGGTGTTCGGTGTGGTGAGGATGAGGAGAGGGGTAGGAGTGGGTCATGAAGGGAGTGCAGGAGCTGTTGTGAGGTTCTGGGGGGCGAGGGAGGGGGTGGCAGGCTTGGCCAGGGCAGGGAGGCATGTGCCAACTCTGAGCCAGCCAGCTTTATACCCACCCTGTGTGGGCACTGACCCCAGCCTCTGTACTTGCAGTTAGCATGGACCAGCGACAGGGGCCACCAGAGCGAAGGCCTGCAGGACCTGCCACGCACCTGCAGCCCAAGGTGAGCCCAGGTCTGTCTGGCTGCCATGGCCAGGACTACATGACCCCCATCCCCACCCATCCCCAGCTCATGGAGTCTCATTCCTGGTGTGGGGAATGAACCCTGGTCAGGGCTGACCCTGCTGTGCTGTGATTCCTTGCAGGAGGGGACACTGTGGGGGTTCTTTGCCATCCTGTCGCTGCTGGCTGGGCTGGCCACAGGCACCCTGCGAACGCCCCACTGCAACGAGACGCTGGACGCAGCCCCCACGCCCCGGGGCACGGCCACTGCCAGCCTGTCTGGGGAGGATGCTGTGGAGGCGCCCCTTGCTGCTGCTGCTGCCTGGAACCAGCTGTACGGTGCGTTTGGGACAGGCCCCCAGCCTGGGCATGTTGGTCCCATGTGTGGGGCATGGGCAGGTTGGGAGCTACTGTGGGGAGCCCCAGCCCATGCGAGGCTGTGGCTGCACTTTGGGGTTGGGTGGAGTGGATCTCAACACATGGGGCCCTGAGCTTCATGCTGGGCAAGTAGCAGAGCCCTAGAAATGAGAAGATGAGAAGATTCTTGGCTGGAAGTATATTCCCACCAGCACAATCTCTCAGGCACCAGGCATTGCCATGGTGGGTGATCAGGAGGGACCCATAGATCACAGCAGGGACCGGCAGGCTCAGAAGGAGGGCGATGGGTGCAGGAGAGGTCATGACAGCGCCATGTCCTCCATGTGCAGGGGACAACGCGACAACAGGTAGCCCGGGCACCGCAGAGCTGGCGGAGGACCTGCTGCTGCGTGCCGAG